GGGGTATTGCAGTGGTAGGGTGCTACAAAACCCTGAGCATTGCAGCGGCGTGTTTTCTTGGTGGTGTTGAACTGGGAACAGCGGCTCCGACGTGGGTGTGGTTGTTGCTGCGATGGTGTCGCAGGCTCACGATCTTGCACTCACTCTAGTGGTTCTACAAGTGGCATGATCCATTTTTCTTATCGTCATTTCCTTTGTTGGCTGGTTCCATCCCCGAGGTTCAAGCTGGTAGACTCTTGCGATGCTGTGCATGGCAGCATCCTTTTTTTCTGTGGTCAGGGCAAATTAGCTCAGGGCGCATGGTGGGTGAACCTTACAATAGCAACAACATTGGTTATTGACGAGGAGGGCTTCAAGCTTTATGATTGGGGATCGCGGAAGTCCTCCGTTGTTCCATCGTTGATACATTTAGATCACTCCGCCCTGTAGTTCACCGCAGCCAATTTTTTCCTTTTTTCCTTCATTGGTTTTTGTTCCATTCCTTGTGAGAGGTGCTGGTTCCAAAGGTGGCGATTGACTACTGGTGTTGTGCCTACGGCCTCGACAAAATTCGCTTCTTTGGATCGAAAAGAGGCTCGTGTTGGAATGAACCAGGAACTGCAGCCGAAGAGGAGGGAGCATGATGTCGTCGTCGTCGAATTAGCAGCGAGCACATCGGCGATGTTGGTGTTCGCAGATTTTGCTTCCCCGGTCGGATTTCACATCCAGAGGAGGATGGATATGTGTTGAATGGCGCAGGATCATCGTCGTCTTTCTGCCTTGCCTTCCGCTGCTGCCTACGCTTCGCACGCCCCACCCCCTAATTGCCATTCCTAAGGACAAGTCTTGTAGCCAACGGCCTCGACAAATTCACTTCTTTAGATCGAAAGGAGGCTCGTGTTGGAATGAACCAGGAATTGCAGCCAAAGAGCAGGATCAGGGGAGCCGGAGGAGGAGCGTTGGTTCCATTTGACGACTTCGAATCCTCATCAAAGCAAAGCGAGAAGGAGTTCGCAAGATCGTGTTGGAAGAAATAGAGCACCCTGTGGAAAAACCCAGAAGAGACTCGTCCTCAACGTCTGGGTCAATAAAATATTGCAAGGTGATTTCAGGATGCATAGAAGATCCTAGGTCCAGGAAGAATCAATTAGGGTTGATAGGTTAGAGTTTGGATGAGTTTTATTGGATGAATTATTTCAATCAAGGATGAATTCTCCTTCACAGATGATTTTCTTTTCTGGATGAACTGGATTAAAATTAATACAAACAATAATAATAATAACAATAGAAATAAGATAATTAACAAAATAATAGGAAATTTTCATGGCATTAACTTGTTGACTGATTTATCAATATGAATGTGAATTAGTTATAGAGTTTTGGCTTATTTGCTTGAATCATTTAAGAAGGTTAAAGAGTGATTTGATTAGAATTTAATTAATAGCTATAACTACTAACATTCACAAGGTTAATTCACTCAGTTTGAATTGGAATAAGTGGAGGTTTATTTGGCTCACATAGGGCTTTATCTTAAGAATTATTTAATTTGGATTTATCTTTATTCTTTCAAAAAAATATAATATTAATTTAATAGCTAAACTAATAGGATGTATTTTTAATTTTTTTTAATGTAATTATACCAAGTTTTACACTTGCTATCTTTAAATTCACAAACTAATATTTTTACATATTAAAGAGGTATTTGGATATAATTTTTACTCCAAATAAAATTCAGTTGCCATTTTTTTTAAATTCTTGTTTTTTTAATATAATTTTTATTTAAATAAAAAATTAGTATTGCATTTATAATCTGTTTTTCCAATAATATTGTCATAGGCTATTTGAAATTATATTTTCAAAATGTTCTTCTATTTCATAATAAAAATATAGATCCAAAGTAAACTTGGCTATTACAAATGCTCATATTCTATTATACTGAAAATTATAAGTTATTGATTAAATCTTTTTTGTAGTTTTCAATGATCTAATCTGAATAGATATAATAAAATAGTAGAATATTAATTGTAGGAAAAATATCATTTGTACCCCTTAACTATGTTGAAATATCATGAATACCCCTGAATTCTTAAAAATAGTAAATATACCCCTCACTTTTGTGATAATTGCAAATTGATATATTTTTTTTCATTTTGGGTGAATCCAGTGCCCAAACCGCATGCCGCCGGCCCCGACTTTTTGCCCCACTAACCGGCCCCTACCGTGTCCCTCCGTTACCTCCGTTGGTGGCATCAACACTCCGCCACCTGGACGATCAAGCCCTAATGCCACAGCTCGTGCTCTGATGCTTGCATGGATTCCGATGACCTTCTCCATCGTTTCTGGGGGAGCTCAAACAATACAAACTACGAGACAAACGATACGCAATTCAAATCCATATGAAACTACACCCCAGAACATAATTTTTGAGCTGACAATCAACTACAGTAATCGATCCTCCAGCTCACAGCGACCTGCAAGATCCATTCCCTGATGCAAATGGTGGATGCACAGGGAATCTGCAACTGCTAGTTTAGATTTTTATTATACACATGATAATCTGGAGTTTTCGTTCGTTGTTGTGTGGTGGTTTTGAAGTGGCTGGGCAGGCGGAATGAAGTCCGGTAGAGGGTAGCTGCTCATCGATGGGCAGGGAGATGTGGTTGTTGTTGTTTTGAGCGCAAGCTCAGCTGGTGTTTTCCCTTTTGCCTTATACATGGCGTTCTTCACTCTTGTCACTTTCTATTAGCATATGACGACGGCCGTGATCATCCTTTTAGGTCCACTATCACGCTCTGGACCCCCACAAGCATCGATTCGCAACCATTTTTCATGAGCAAATGAACAGTGTTCCAGCAGCACATGGAGTCTGCTGCATAGCGTCCCCCCCCACATGACCCTGCTGCTGGTTTAGATGTGTTCACATTTGCATTTCTGTTTTCATAAATGTAGAACATCAAATAGTGTTTGATACGACAGGAGTCCCTTCTTTGAAACTCTGCAGTGTCTCATCTAAAAATTTGTGTCTGGCGCAGAAAATTTTGGAAGCCTTGACAATCATCCTTGCTTTCTTCGAGGTTTACCTCCTGTCGTTACAAACAGGCTTCTTCGGAACTAGCGATGATGGATATGACCAATCTAGGGCTGCGAACGCCAAAACCGGTATAACATATGGCACACCAGTTGCTGCCTCTGTCTAACCTCAACGTTGGAATGAACCAGTAGAGCGTTCTGATAGGGGGCCGATTTTCACGATACCCGTTGGCATTACATTTTGCAGTCCATTTGTACTAATACTCCGTCGTAGAAAAGGGGAGAAAATTGTAGGCAACATAGTCAGGCCATCCTGGCTATGGAGGATGTCTCCTAGTTTATGCTATAGATTCCCCTACTCTGTATCATTTGACCTTTAATTCATGAAACTGTTTTTCTGCGATTGGTGTAAATGTTTTTACCTCGTCTGTTATAATCCTTGAACTGTCAACGAAATGGAAGATAGCTCCCGTTTTTTCGAAGTCCTACACAAGCCTCCTCTTGGCTACCTGTTCTTCACTCAATTGGCACACGCTCATCATTTAATGCTGAAGGTACGTATGCATGATATGTCTTTTGATTCAAAAGACTAAAAGGGTAGAAGTTGTGGTGGCCCTAGTGATGTGGGTTGAGGTGATTACAACATCAGAGCCTTGAATTAGAGGCTGATTTTTCGCGCTGGGGTCGTCATTCCCAACATATGCTTTTTATACACAGAAAATGAGCACTGATATCACTAGTACTTGATAATGTGACATTGTAATGTTCCAGTAAAGGACAATTCTGTCGATTGTGAGGGGAAGAGTTGCATCGAAGGGCGCAGAGTGGTCTTTCGCAAGGAAAAGCGGGAGAGAGAGAGTGTGTGAGACGAGTGTTGGCTTTGGGGTGGAAGGCGAGTGAATGGCGTCGTGGAGTGTGTAGCTTGTTTCATAGTGCTTGGTTACTTGTTCATTTTGCCTTCTTTTCCATTTTAAAAGAAAGTAATTTCTGTCTCTGGAAGTTGGAAATTCTTTCCCAGCACTGGTGTGGCTCAGCCTCGGTCTTGCTGTTTCGCGATTGAAGTTTCACTGGAAGGTTCTGCTTTAAGTTGCAATACATAATACGCTACTTTGAAGACTGACTAATGGCCCTTTTTCAGCAGTATACGGAAGGGCACCATGGTAATAGTAATGCTTTATTTCACAAAATACATTGAGGAGAATTGTTAAAGGCGCAATGTTCTTCGCAATGCCTAACAGCTTGACGTGTGTGCAGAGGTTCAAGGTGCTTAGCTTGGCAATCATGTCATCAAGAGATTTGAAGCATTGTAAATTGTTCCCGATATTACATTGATCACGTGTTTGCATATTCTTGGATGTTTTATATATAACCTAGATGATGTTCTAGAGATCTAGAGATACCCAAAGAAATGAGCTATGTATAATGGTGATATTTAGTTTTTAGTAAAATGACGATATGATGATGCCTGGAGGGATTAGAGGTAGTATGGGAACTTTGGGAGAGGGCCCAAGAACTGGTAGCGGAGGTGTTCATGGCAATACACATGATTTAGATGGAATTACAGAGTTGGGTCGTCTTCTGAAAGGGCGAACCCGATTTGATAACATTTTGAACTCTGGACATGTATTGCAGAGGAGTAGCAGTGCTCCTCCCAGCGTGGAGGGGTCATTGACCGCAATGGGTGGGTTTTTCGACATGTCCACCCTCCAATCAGGGGAGAAGGACGTATTGGATGCCGAAGAAGCGCAGCGCGAAGATCCCTAGTACCTAAAATATTAATACAGTACCATCAATCTGAATCCGAGATTGCCTCCACCGTTGATATCATGGAACAACCATCGGTTGGCGCAGAGGTTGCAATCTGGAATGGGGGCTGGGGAATTTGGGGACAAGAAGAAATTGCGATCGATGGACGACAGCAGCAGGAGGTCTTTGTTCTCGAGCAAGCCAGTATTGCCAACACACAAAGAAGAGCCAGATGTTCCAGAGGAGGACAATTCACCAATGAGCGCCCTTGCGAGGACGGTATCTAGCGACTGGGCAGAAAGAGAGAGGGGCGATGGGTTGATGGGTTAGTCATCTGGAATGGGTCCCCGTCCCAAGAGTCTTGTGGATCTCATTCAGGTACTTGAGCTAATGCAGCTGATCCAGAGTTTCTCTGTGACTGGTTGATCACAGTTTGGTCTCTTGTGGTGCAATGGGGTTGAGGTAACAGAGTGGATGTCATGTATTTTAAGGTTGATTGTGATTGTTGAGTTTTTTTGCCTTGACGGATAATTATAACTGTTATCTGCGATGATGGGGCAGGAGGATTTCTCTCGAACGCCGTCGCCAGTGTATCATTTGTCTCGATCGTCAAGGAGAGCCGCAAATGATGAGAACGAGGCTGCCAATGCGGTGCTGGACCTGCAATTAGCTCATTTGCGAGAGTCGGCTGCGGGGGAGTCCATCGCCGTCATAAGTGGAATGGGGTCTCGAAATACGACTCCTGTACATGGTGTGTCGAATCTGCACCAAACTTCAGGACCCGCAGCTCCTGTACCAAGAATACCTACACCTGACATTCCACTTTCAAGCACTGTCTGTTCGGCCAGCCCATATTTGGCCAGGATGGGTGGTGTATCAGGTAGACTTAAAAATTTCAGTGTTTTAGATGGATTATGCGTTTGCTGAACAGATCGTCTACATTGACGTTGCTGGACATTGTGTGCGAGTTTGTGAGGTAAACTGTTGAAGTTTTTGCTTCAGGACTTCCTGGTGGAAACATGTCTTTTTCGAGTTCCGATTCGCGGAGCCCGGTGCTGGGTCGTGCTTGTAGTGCCAGTGCTGCGGATTTTGCTCAGATTCCAATGCAGCTGAATAAGACAGCCAGAGCAAGCAATGCGGATTTCGAAGCAGCTCTCAAAGGGTTGAGCATGTCCGATATCCATGGATCTACAGCTGCTCGCGAGGGAAGGGAATTGCAGCAACGGCAACAACAGCAGCAGCATCGGCAACGGGCTCAGACAGCTGCTCATGTGCAGGTCCAATCTCAAGCAGCCCAAGTGAGCCGCACGGATCTTTGTCTTTGCTGTTGAGATTATGATTTAGTAGCGTATCTGGCTGCTGCAGGACATGTACAGTTGGTGTCTACTATGTCCAAGTTTTTTCCTAGGTTCAGTTTATAACCTAGACTTTGATATGTGGGTATAATATATTTATATTTATTTATATTTATTAGTGAACAAACATAGAAGCAATGTGAGAATCTAACAAATGAGTCAAAACTTGTCTCTATCTTTTATCAATAACACCCATCAAAATTATAGACTAACCATTGATGATATAAATCAAAGAAAACAAGTTTAAGAATTAACTTATAGATTTTTTTTTTAAACATAAGAACCAAAAATTAGAAGATTCATCTCAAGAATTGTCATTTGCCAAATTATCAAATCAAGTATTTAGATTGTCTCAACTTAGAAAATATTGCAACTATGATTAAGATCTTTGTGAGAGATATGCTCTTTTGAAATAGATGGCAAGATAAAATATGTTTGGTACTATAAACTTGGAAGAGACTTCTAATGCTTAATAATACTATTGGGGGTGGTTACTATACTTGATAGAATACAAAATAATTTGTTTGAAGGTAGTTATAAAGGCTTCAATAATAATCATATAAGTGAGTGGTTTTTTGTTCTAATATAGAATATTATCAATGGTCAAAGGGACCTATCAATCACCTTTGTGCCAAACAAATATCAAAGTTTGTTACCAACACTATTTGATGGATCTTAAACTTTATTAACTTATAAAAAGATTTAATAACTCTTTGTAGAACTTATTGCCCACAAAGAGAGATAATATTACAAATATATAGAATTATTAGTAAAATTATTAAATATACTAGTAATTATATATATATATATATATATATATATATATAATTTGATCAATAAATTGACTACATATTGTACATATTATAAGTTGGTTATGTAGTGTATTTATTGGAAACTTGCCTTAAAATTTAGGAACTTATTTTGTAAGTTGGACATGTGTCATAAAACATATAGGGTGTTGTCATATAATTCCTTAGTTAGATAATATATACAAAGGCAAGAATGAAGCCTTATTCACTCTTGTTAACACCTTTCTTGTTTCTGGTCTAATTTTAAGAGTCTTTAGTCTTCTTGTTTTTGGTAATGTCTATTCTAATTTCTTCTTTTATATATATATATATATATATATATATATGATGTACATCTTGCTTATTTATTTAAATTCTTTGAATTCTTGTCTTTAATACTTTTTTATATTAAAAAAATTATTTGCTTAATTTTTTTTATATTCTAATTATCACTAAATATCTATACAATCTCTTTTAGAAGATAGTCTATTAAATTACTCAAACTATAGTGTCAATGATAATTTATCATATTTTCTATTGATCTTTTAATAAAACTTGTAATATAACTAATATACTAGAAAGAAAGTAATTACCACATTTTCTTATTGAGATAGATAGCAATTAATAATTTGAAATAGATGAAGTCTTAGATGTGAAGCAATTCTAAAACAAATTGGAATATCTTGCATATTGCAAGAACAAAACATTATTGAACACATGTAAGAGCTATCTAAGAATCTTATAAATGCACCAAAATTACTTTTTATCTTTTATTGAAAAAATCCATAAAAACTAAGAATTGATTATTTATAGTAAGTTAGTATCAAACAAAAAAAAGGTTAAAGATCAATTTTTAGAACTTCTTTCTAGAATGGAGATTCAAAACTTACTAGATTTATTTGAAGAATTGAAATTTGCAAATATCTTAAGATAAACTACTTATATTTTTTAATCTTACAAACATAAAATTAATCATAAAGATCTTCAAGAAAGTTATAATTTATTTTTAAAAAATTACAAAATATCATTTATATGATTATTATAATTTTAAAAGAGAGTCTTAATGTATAGACATCTTATTAGAGGTAAATTCTATATTTAATAGCATCTAAAATATATTATTTGAAGGTAGTTTTAAAAGTCTAAATTATTTTTAAATAACTAGTGGATTTTTTATTTGAATAAGAAACATCAATAAAAATTCAAAAGACTTATTAACTACTTTTTTGTACGTCATAAATAAAAATATTTTATAATATGATTTGATAGATTTTGGACCTCATCAACTTATAGAGCAACTTGTGCATTCTTTATTGAAATTTGATTTAGAAAGAAGTAAAATATAATATTCTTATATTACTTAAACAAATAAGAGTAAGTAGAAGCAAGTAGAAATCTTTAGAAATATATTAGGTAGATAAAATTATCTTTAAAAAATATCACTAAATATTTTTAGCCATAAATTAAATCTTTATATTCTTTTAGATATGCCACATAGATACATAAAACATTCTTAGAAGTTTTCTATTTTTTAAAAAAATCTATAAAAATAAAAAAATAACTTAGATTCTTGAGCTATCAACCTTGTGGTTTTTAAAAAGCTTTCACATGGTATTATTAGTAGATAGTATATATAGAGAGTTGAAATTAAGTCCATATTTAATTGTTTTTCTATATCTTTTTTACATTCCTATCTTAATTCAAATTTTTATATATTTTTTGTTTTAAGCAATGATATTTTAATTTTTTATTATTTTTTAATTTTCTTGATCTTAATAATATATAAATGTGTTTTATTTTTAAATTTATATCTTAAAATATATTCTTCATACAATCTATGTCTAAATTTATATTTTTATATTAGGATTTTTAAGTTCTCATATTACATTTTGATTTTAAAAAAAATTGATTTTGTCTTACTTGGCATGTGAGACTTAGTAATCAATCTATATTTATTCTATGGATTTAATTTATAAATTTAGATCTTAAAGAAATATTTATTAAAAAATATAATTAAAATAATAAATATAAAATATTTATATATTTATATATATTTTGAAATACATGTTATGTATATATATATATATATATATATATATATATATATATGTATTTATTATGCTAAAATAGATTAGCAACTTGGTTGTTGTGTACTTACTTGCAAGAATGTGGTTCTAATTATTATTGAGTCTTTTAGAAGTAGTTTAAGACAACTTAATTTATATATTAAATGGTCAATTTGTAATTTTATAATTTTTATTAATTTCTTTTCTAATGTATATAAGTTGTCTATAATATATAAGGTTGATGCTAATAGAAATTTCAAAAAGACTAGTTGTCTTTTTAAAAATAAGAAATTAGTTAAAATGGTGCTTTTTCCATTTTTTTGCTCTTTGCTCTATAAAAACACTAATGTAAAATAATTCAAAGAATTCATGCAAAATATAATGACTTATATTTAGCCAAAGTTAACACAACATGACAGCTAATAGGCATAGGTCATACTTGGACAATAATTTTAGGGGAAAATCTATCTAGATATTTCCAATTTTTTATTGGGGCTTACGATGGGTTTTTCCACCTCGCCTTTTCTATTCTATTTATGGAATGGGTCCACCCAATTGTGTCCACAAAAAAAAAAAAAAAAAAAAAAAAAACCTAACTGACTGATAAGTACACCTGCAAGAAGTACTGCGTGCTATGATAAAACAAAAAACCAGAGTTGTCTTATTTACTTTCTACTTGATGTATTCGGATATTGAACGTGTAAAGAGCAGGTTTAAAGAGAAGAAGTATTCGCGAGTACTGGGTTTCCATGTCATCAACCGACTGCTGCCGTCTGGCCAAAAGTTGAAAATCAGCAATTGACTTTTTACACAAAACTAACACTCCTCTTGAAATCTTCAGATACTGTGAGTGCCAGGTCTCGCGATCGGCCCCACGTCCATTGCTTGGGAATTATCGCATCCAGCTCCTACCGATGACATGTCCACGCTTCATGCAGCCAGTGAACTTTCGGTGAGGTGGGAGCTTTTCTCGGAGAGAAGTTGTCGCAAGTGCTCTCGGGGGACTGCAAGAGTGTCTCCAGTCAACAATGGGAATGATTCCCTTTCAACTTGGTGGCCCGCACGTGCCCTGCGCAGTAGTTGTCTGACTGAAATACTAGGATTCCATAGCATGTACAAGTTGTTCACGTCGATAAATAATTGCTTTGAATTCGTCATGCAGGAATTTTAACAACTTGTATATTCCAATCGACCAGTATTCCGGGGAACACATATTCGACGACAGCTAATGGGGTGATTCTTCACATGGTTTGGGAATGGCCAACTGTGGCAACCATGACCAAACGGAATAATATAGGTCGGAAGACTGGAGAGAGTATGTGGCTACATACCGAAGCTTTGTTGTTTGTTGGAGACAAACCGTTGTATTCATTTATCTGCTGAAATTATTTCATGAGAACTCTGTCTTGTGAATCGGCAATACTAACATATTGGAAGCATGTCAATTGCACAACGCTTTGCAGAATCTCAGATCTTATTAATACTAAGTTTTCTAAGTCTATATATATACTATGTGTGAGATGAATAAACTCTCTTCAATTACTTGTGCTCTCCAAGATTGAACATGGTATCTATTGAAAAAATACAACATTGAAGTTTTGAACACATAGCATCAGTAAGATTGCATAAAAAGAGAGTATGGAGTAAGATAATTCTCACTTCTAACATCCATTGTTTATAGGTAATTCTTACATTTTTTGGCATCTTTTTTACTACAATAGTATGCTTTCAACATATTCTTTATTTTTTTAGGATCCTATAAAATCTTTTGATTTTAGTATATCTTAGCATATCCTAACATATCCAATTATATCTTATCATATTTTAGAATATTTTAGAATATCTTTTATGATCTTTTCATTCTAAGACCTTTTGACTATTAATAACTCACATAAGATAATATCCTCTATTTTTATTAACTTATTTACTTTGTTAGTTCTATTTGCTATTGGTTAAAGGCTTTTAATCCTAATGCCTTTGTCAATATGTAATGTCTATCCTTACTAGTACCTTTACTAACAAATCAGCAAATATGTCTTTTATTATACAATACTTTATCTCAATCAGTCCCATTTCAATCTTTTTTCTGATGAAGTGATGTTAAATATCAATATATTTGTTCTTTGAATGATGCTTTGAATTCTTTACAAAAGTAAGACATCCTTAATTGTCACACTTTGTTGGAGTTGCTTCTAATTGCATTAATTCAATATCTTCCAAAATTTATTTTAATCATATTGCCTCTATTGCATCATGGCTTACTACAATATACTCCACTTGCATTGTGGATTTTGTAATTGTTAGTTGTTTCTTGTAATTCCATGAAATAGCTTCTATTCCAACAAAGAACACATAGCCTATTATT